AATAGTCCCACTTACAGTGACAGTCACTAAAAAATGTATAGAAAGCTTTAAAATCACAATGTGTTATTTTAAGTTAATCATTTCAGAAATGGTTATTTTCCCATTATGTCAGAGGTTCTTAACTTTTATCACTTTTTATTCACAGTGAGGACTAACACTAACTGAAACAAAGGTTAAAAAAAAATCATACCCAGCCCAAAAGTAGATGACTGGATTAAAAAGATGTGGTACATATATACAATGGAATATTACTCAGCAACCAAAAAACAGAAACACATGTCTTTTGCAGCAACTTGGATGGAGCTGGAAAAGATCATGCTTAGCGAGATAAGCCAGAAAGAGAAAGGAAAATACAGATGGTTTCACTCACAGCAGGAGTATATGGATCAGGCGAGAAAATAATAAGAATAATGAACAGCCATATACCAGTATACCAGAGACATTTTGTGGGGGTGGAATAGGGAATGGGATGAAAAACGGGGGAGGGGGGGAGAGGAAGTGCACGGGACTATGGTGATGGCACAGAGGTGACTCAGTGATGGGGATTACAATTGAGATTTAAAAAAAAATGTACAAAATGATGTAAAAATAAACTGTTATATTATTTTAAAAAATAATAAAAATTTGAAGTATTTAAAAAAATATATATATATCCGGACCCTCCCTGGTGGCGTAGCGGGTTAAAGCACAGCACTAAGAAGCTAAACACACTTCAGCATGAGTTAGATGCCTGCCTGCCCTGGCAGACCTCTCCTGACCTGCCCGCTGCTCCCCTCTGCTCCCCTCAGCAGTGTACTTGTCAGTCGGCTGTTCTGCTCCCCACTCTCTCTATGTCTCTGCACCTCTGGCCTGTATCCCAGCTCTGTATACATAAATAAATAAATCTTAAAAAAAAAAATCTTACCCTTGCTAAGGATGACGCACATTAACATTTTCTAGTCCATGTCATAAGGTATTGAGCATTTTTATGTGATTTTTCTAAACTATTAAATAGTAGAAAAACAATGTCGGGCACTCCTTGGTGGCACAAGGGGTTAAAGAGCAACAGTAGGAGGCTCTCTGCAGCCACTGTAGCACAAGTTCATTTGATCCCCAGCCAGATAGGTGACCCACATGGCAAGGCAGACCTCTCCCTGTCTTGCCTTCTGCTCCCTGTGGCCATGTATTTCAGTCAATCTGCTTCCCACTCTGTCTCTGGTGAACCCTCTCATCCCACACCTCTCTGGCCTGTATCCAGTTCTGGTATGCCTCCATAAATAAATCCAAGATCACACTCTAACCATATCCATTAATGAAAATATAACCGAAACAACAATATACAATGCAAGAGATACAGATAAGAAACCCCTTCCTAAGGAGGAAGCCATTTTAGATCAGAAAGAGAAAGATGAAAACCAAATTATGAGTCTTGCCCCTCTCATCAAATAAAAACTCTGTATCTCAAACCTTGGTATTATCCTTGATTTTGACTTCTCTCACTCCCCAAATCCAAAGCATTATTAAATGCAGCAGGCTCTTCCCCCACAATACATCCAAAATCTCACACTTATAACTAACCCTACTGCCAACACCCTGGTGCAAACAACTACCTCTTGAACAAATCACTACAACAGCTTGTAATTTAGCATCTCAATTCTGTCTCTCTGAACAGTACAGTCAGGTGATGTTATTAAATCATTAGGTCACTTGTCACTCCTCTGCTCCAATGGTTTCCCATCAGAAGACCAACATCCTTCCTAAAACCTGCAAAGCAACACATGATCTGCTCTTCCTGGTCATGCTGACCTCATCTACTCCTCTGTGGCCTCCACAGTCTCCCTAACTCCTCTAGCAAACCACATAAACGCCCACCGTCAGGCCTCTGAACTCGTGCCCTCTCCCTGGAGTGCTCTTCCTGCAGATATCCACATGGCTTGCTCCCCCTATTTCCTCTGGGCTTTAGCCATCTTAATAAAACCATCTCTGGGGGGCTCCCTGGTGACCTAGGGGTACACATATGGCACAGCAGACCCCTCCCCCCACCACTGCATCTCTGGCTTACACCCCAGTTCCTCTATGCAAAGCTAAAGTATTTTAAAAGAACTAAAATAAAATAAAGCCATCTAAAATTTTACCCCACATCATACCTTCACTTTATACAGGCTAGAGTCCTCTGCTTTATTTTTCTTGTTAGCACTTACTACTAAGACAGCATTTTTTTCTTTTTTAGCTACTTACTTTGTGTAATCTCCATGAGGGCATGTTTGTAACATCCACTCCCCAACACCTACAACTGTATCTGGCACATATCATACACCTAAGAAATGTCTGAAAAAGTAAGTGAATGAATGGATCCAGAGTGATTTCAGAAGAGGTAAGAATGACTAATAGCAGGTAGAGCTGAAGCTCAAGCTTCAAGGGCAACCCTGGCACAGCTGTGCTATCTCTGGCTCTGTCAGCATCGGTGAACCAGGTGAGCAAAACACTACTGGAGTCTGATTAGTATCTTATATAAGTAGGGAGTGCTTCCTGCAAGTTCATCATCTATTCTGAATCAATCAAGAAGAAATTTGGGAGGAAATGAAGCCACAACTGAAAAATATGATTACCTACCCAAGATAAACGATGCTTTAACATGCTACAAAATGTAACTGAAACATATTATGGAGTAATACCAAAGGACATAGCTAAAGCCAGAATTCTGAAGTACATATTTCTCCCATGATACAAAAGTAGAATGTTCCTATTTGGCAGGTTATATCAGAGACTTGGGAAAGCTGTTACTATTAACCGATATGGAAAAATCTTTTAGCATACCTGGACCCAAAAAATAACCGACCCAAAAAATAATCATACCAAATAGCAACATTCTACCTTCAGGTAGTGTGGAAAACCTGTAACACTGTGTAGACATAGGAAGTCCAGGGATCTATCTAAATCAATCTCTGCTACTTACCAACTATATGAACAAAGTTACACCCAGATCAAAATAAGGGTCTCTGTTTTCCAAGCCACTCTCAACTAGTTATCTCAAGGATGAAATAATAGCAAAGCACTTTTAAAAGCATTAAATGCCATAGACACTAAATTCTAAGGATATTAACTTATTGGCCTCTGAAAGATTACAATAATCTGAGAAACCTTTAAGCTTTAAATACTTTTATAGATGTATGAGTCAGGATGTAGCAATTTCTTCCCCTGGCCCCAAATAAACAGAAAATTTTGCTTCAGAGAACAAAAGAACTGTTCTCCCCTTGGTCTCTGGCAGTTGCCTAGAAGGCCAATCCAAACCAGGGCATACACCTCTGCTCAGGACACATGTACAGGGTCTCTGGCATAATACAGCAGCATAAGGGACTTTTGCACCCCTACATGGGAGACCATGATTTAGCCTTTTCCCAAGTAGATGCAGGAAATCACAGGGTGATGTTAAATTTATCTACCTACATCCCAGGACTGTGATTTAAGTAATTGGGAGGGTGACTGTGCCTATCCATGAAACAAGGAACATTAGATTGGGGCCACCTGCAGGTTTGCAAGAATTGTAGGACATCTGAGTAGTAAGACCCCAAGGTCTTGGTCTATGAACTTGCTAGGGACAGCTGTACACCAGGTAATGGGAAATGCTACCTGCATACAGGGGAGACCGATAAAAAGAATCAGATGGGTAAAAGCTCTGGGTGGTGATGTAGTCAACTTGAGGATCAGGTACAGAGTGAGAACAGACACCAGAGGTTGGCAAACATTCAGGAGGGGATCAAGTACCAAGGAGGAGATCTTTGAGGTGGGAAGAAGCCCAGCATCAGTTACTAAGACATGGAGAAAGGAGAACGTAAGAAAACAGGAATGTTACCAGTGGCTCAGGCAGCATTGGGTACTTTGATTTGTCCACCTAGAACTCTTTGGAGAATTTAGGAAGGGGATATCCCATGTGTGGATGGGGAGAATAGTAATCTAGAGATAATCAAATCAGTACATGACTTCAAGAAGGTAGGCTATATACCTTTTAAATAATCAATAATCAAAGCAGGAGATAGCAGAAGCAGAGAGCTTGTGCTTTAGAGTGTTAGGGGAAAAAATTAACTGTTTCCTGAATTACAGGAAGGTTATAGCATGAAACTTGCAAGTAATGAAAACTATTAATATATTTCTGAAAATAAAATAATTTTCTCACATCACAAAAATTATATATAATTTACATTTATGTGGTACATCGGAGATTGGGGTGGGGAAACAATTTCCAAAGAGCAAGAGGGAACTTTTGGACTGATGGAAATGCTCCTATTTTTTATATTTGCCAAAACTCATCATACTGTTCATTTTAATGGGCTCAAATTTCTTCAAGTGAGTAACATCAATAAAGTCTGAAGAAATCAAATACCTGCCCTTTTCCTTAAGGCAAACAACTTGGTAATACAAAGGGCTCCAGAAATTCTGTAATGAGACCTAATACAACAGACTTGAAGATTTAAGATAACAGAACTTGACTCAGTGTCACACACACACAAAAAAGTCAACTCACGACCTTTAGGCCTCAAGGTCAACTCAAATTAAAACGGGGGACTAGGGGATTCAGCATGTTTGGGGTAGGGTGATCTCAGAATCTTCTCAAGACAAAAACCCCACATGGTAAACCGAAAGGAGAGGTTTGGAGCTCTTCAGACCTAGGCTGCTATGTGTGTGTTGAGAGTCCTCAGTCTCTCTGAGGCTCAGTTTCCCTCTCAGTGAAATGGGGATAATGATGGCTTAGGGTTTACTCTAGCGGACACTCAGTGCTCGGTACACCTTCCGTAATTGCTATAATTGAAGGTGTCGGAACCTAGCACAGGCGGGAATAGCATGCAGACCTAGGTTCCCCACTTTCCCTCCGGGGATGGAGGCTGTCGCGACCCTCCGTATGCCTCGTGGCCGTCAGCCAGTAGCCATTTCCCTCATACACACACCCCCCCCAACTGCCTTTCTGGCCCGACCACCCCTCACCCCTGCACCTCCCTAGGGCTGCCGAACCCCGAATCCCCCACCTCGTTAAGGAAGCGGGTGATATCGTAGACTCGCCCGTGAATCACCAGCCATATCTCCTTCGAGGAGTTGCGCTTCGCCACCTCCTCCAACCGATAATAGGTGACGGGTTTCTCGACCCCTTGCCCTATCCCATCGCTGCCGCTAGCTTCCTTAGACGCCATTAGGCCTGCGGTATCTCTTCAGCACTGCTACCCGGGTTTCCGCCGCTAACTTCCTTGAGGTAAACGAGCTCAGCCCTTCCCGGCTTCCGTAATTAGGAACCATAAGGCCGGAGAGGTTCCTGGCAACAGCCAATCACGCTTCCCAATAGTCCCGGGTTCGTTTTCTTTTCACCAATGAAAGGAGGGATTCAATCCCAAATCCCACCCACTCCTCGCCAGATCCTTGGGCGTAGGCCTGGTTCGAGGTCCAACTAACCAACCAGGACCGTTCTTGTCCTGCAATCTCTCCAATCAGATACCGTGATTTTGGAAAAGGGCTTAGAGGCCAATGGACCCTATCACCCCTAGACAAATTTACCCACTCTGAACGCTCCCCCTCGGAATTCAGCGGTGGGTGCCTCCTGAGTCCCGAAGGGCGCTCCTTGCGCACCTCCTGCGTGACCAGTCTGTGCTTTATCGCTCTGCTTTGAAGCCTCCAGGCTGTGCTCTGACGAATCAGTCTCTCCTTTCTAAGCTGTGTAACCTCACCAGGACACTGGGCATGATAACTCCTATCTTCCAGAGAAGTTTGGCTGATGAGAGTGTTATCTACAAGAGCACTTGGTACAGAGTAATAGATGAATGGTGTTAGAAAAGGCGACCTTAGGATAGAGATTCGGTGTAAAGTGTTTCTGCCACCAGGAAGACTGATTTTGTTTTCTGTCCATTATATTTCAATAATGCTAGGGGGTAGGGGGGGATCTGATTTCTAAACGAATTCTTTGGCAACAAGGAGGACACGACCTACACTATTTAGTTTCTATGTGTTCTAAAATAGCATTCACTTCAGCTGTCCCCCACTGAAGATCCCAGCATTTTGGTTAATATTCAGTGTCGAGGGTTCCTCATTCTCAGCTGCCACTACAACTGACAGATTGATCATGAGGTAATGTCAGTTTTCTCATGTCACCCTCCCATTCTAGTTCCCCACCAGACACTTGGCTCCTAGGTCTGCCGGTTTTAAACCTGCCTCTGTAGTCATCTGTTTGAAATAACCTCTTCCTTCCAACGTCTACTCACCTTTCAACTTCCTCCTCCATTTTTTCCTTTTTCACAAGTTCTCCCACCATTTTGAGCTCCAAGTGTTAAATCCCCTTATAGTATAGTGTCTAAGCATTTATTATTTCAAGAAACACCTTGTATTTGTAAATTTTGACGTTCCATACCATACCTCACTAATTAGACAAACTATTAGAGCAAGCCTAATAATTCTTAGAATGGTCCACAAATTCTAGATGTTTACATTCATTTCAGCTATGGTGTCACAAGTAAGGCGATAGGCCCTGTAGACATGTAGACCCACATGGCACAGCAGACCTCTCCTGTCTTGGCCACTGGTCCCCTCAATATATTTCATTGACCTGCCTGTTCTACTTCCCACTCTTTCTCTAGTGAATCCTCTTACTGCCCCTGCACCTCTGGCCTATACCTCAGTTCTATATGCATAAATAAATAAATCTTTTTTAAAAATCTAAAAAAAAAATTAAGATTTCTAAATGAAACAAAAACATTTACATGTATATTCACAGTATATATGTGCTTATGTGTATGTGTATGTTAGAACTAGAGATATGTACCAAATTCAGTGGCACACAGATTTCAAAACATTTGTTATAAGTATAATTTCACACTTATTCCAATGTGTGTGTGAGTCACTTATGGAAACTTAAAAATGTAGATTCAGGGGCCCTCCCTGATGATGAAAGAGGTAAAAAGCACAGCACTATGAAGCTATCCGCAGCCACTGTAGCACAGTTAGATCCCAGCGAGCTGACCCACGTGGCACAGGAGACCTTTCCTGACCCTAGGCTGTTCCCCTCAGCAGTGTTTTTCAGTCAATCTGCCTGTTCTGCTCCCCACTCAGCTCCTGGTGAATCCTCTCACCCCCTGCACCTCTGGCCTGTACTCCCATTCTTGTATGCATAAATAAATATCTCAGTGATATCTCTGGATAACTTTGGAAAACACTGAACTTTCTTGGAAACATTAAATATGTCTTAGCAAAGGGAAAAGTTTGGAGAAATATAGAGTACAACCAAAGCAAAAGGGAGAATGACCATGGAGTGGAGAGAAATTTCTGTTTCTGAGACTGAGAAACAAAATGGTTTGGGATCTCTCAGTAGCAGGGATCCTTCAAGCTTCCTCAAAGGAACCTGGACACGGGTGGAACTTAAGAGTCAGAGCTCCCAGACACTCAGACTGTCATCTCTGTGACAAATCTTTCAGGCACAGAGTCTAGGATGCCTAAGAATGTAGACCGAAGACTAAAGGGCACTGCTTTCAACTTTGTAAAACTCCTAGAAGGGAAAGATCAAGTCCCATAAATGACTGAGACTAAATTTGTCACTATCATAGCATGGGGAATATGGATCACATTAAAGATTTTTAATTAAAATTTAAATTTTTATTTTAGCATTTCAAACAGGATAAGTCAAAAATACAATGAACTACCATATACTTTTAATTTAGATTCACAAAGTGTTACTATTTCTCCTTATATAAATGATTTAATGTTATTCAATTTAGAATAAATTATAGAACATCATGACCCTTTATTTCCACATAGTTCAGCATGTATCTTGGAAGAATAGGACACATGCTTATATAACCCCAATTGAGTTTCAACTTAAAGGAATTTGACGTCGATGTGCCAAGCTATTACCTAGTACGTTCATACTGTTTTCCAGTTGTGGAGTTTTGGTGAGTTACTGTGATCCAGGATGCAATCCAGACTGAAGTCTTGTACTTAATTATGTCTCATTAGTGGGCTTTAATCAAGTACATTTCTTCAGCCTTCTTTTTCCTCCGTGATATTGACATTTATAAAGAGTACAGCTTCAAACTGAATTTGATTCAGAAAAATATTGTGACAAAATATGTTAATTGTGAATGCCAGTTCACAATTTATATAACATGTTAGTGAGAAAGTCTTAACTTTGGGAAACTTGGAGGCCCTGTCCCTGAACTCATAAACTTGGTAAACCTTAGGCAGCTTTCTCAATCTCTCTTCTTTTTCTCCATTGTTCCAACAAATACCTTTGATCCAACACCATTTGATGAAAACACAAATCCCCTCTGAATTCTTTTTCATGTATTTGTTGAAAATTTACTTAACAGATAAAAGAATGTGTATATTTCTGAAAGTTCTACTATGTTCTATTGTTTTGATCAAAGTTAACATCACCAGTGATAACTCATTTGATAACAAGCATCCCCTGGTGTGTGGTGAGGAGGGCACTTCATCACCAAGGCATCCTTCCCCCAACCTATAATCCCAGTCTAAACATGAGAAAAAAAACATTATACCAACCCAAAATCTGACCAGTATTCCCCAAAACTGTCAAATTTGGGTGGGAAGGAACACTGAGAAATTGTCACAGATCAGAGCAGACTAAGGAAATAACTAAATGCAATGGGTATTCTGTATTGAATCCTAGAACAGAAAAAGGAGTTGAGGGAAATACCAAAAGAAGTAACAGTAATGCACCAGTGTTGATTTCTTATTTTTGATAAACTTAGCACAGTAGTATAATTTGTTAGACCATTATGGGAAACTGGATAAAGATATATGGGAACTCTCTGTAGTAATTTTTGCTATTTTTCTGTAAAGCTATTCTGAAAAGAGAATATTTTTAAAGTCAGCCTGTTAATATAATACAGTTTATAAATGAATTTATAGAGAATGGACATTTTACTAACCTTGAGTTTCACAAATATGGCATCTACATCGCCACTGATTTAAATCTTTATTTTATAGTTTTCAGCAACAGAGGTGTACATTGTTGTTAAATATTTCTAAGTATTTTATGTTTTCTATGCTACTATAAGTGGAATTACTTCATTTTCCAATTGTTTTCAACCATAATAGAAAAATACAATTGATTTTGTAGATTCACTTCGTAGACTCTTACTTTGCCAAATTCACATATAGTTTTAGTGGTTGCTATGATTTCTAGTACAAGTTGGACTCTGTCAGATATTATTTTCTACATCTATTGAGTTGATTATATGATTTTCTCCTTTATTTTGTTAATGTGGTGAATGATATTGAATTGCTTTCAAAAACTTAATCATCTTTCATTCCTGGTTATGTTAGTCTTTAATATTTTAATTCAATTTGCTGCTATTTTTAAAGGATCTTTGCATCCCTAGTCGAGAAATATTGGTCTATAATTTTCTTCAAGAATTTATAGAGAATGAACATTTTACTAACCTTGAGTTGATGGATTTTTTCATAGATTTGACGGAGTTTTTCAAGTTCTTTTACAAATATCTTCTAAGTGATCATAGGTGAGTACTGTGTAATAAGAAAATTAAGCAAAACTCTTGGCATAGTCCCTGCCACAGAAAGTCCTCAATAAATGCTGGCTGTGCTGGAATATTATTTGTAGATGCTATAAGTGAGACCCAACTCTTAAGGAAACTTAACTTTCCAAGAGGAAGATGGCACTTAGCATATAACTTTTTTTAAGATTTATTTATTTATTCATATAGAACTGGGGTATAGGCCAGAGAGCGGAGGGTGAGAGGATTCACCAGAGACAGAGTGGGGAGCAGAACAGGCAGATCGACGAAGTACACTGCTGAGGGGAGCAGTGGGTGGGTCAGGTCAGGAGAGGTCTGCCACGCCATGTGGATCTCCAGGGCAGGAGGGAATAGAACTCATGCGGAAGTGGCTTAAGCTTCTTAGTACAGCGCTTTAACCCGCTGCGCCACCAGGGAGGGCCAGCATATAAAATATTTTTAATGTTAACAATTTACTTTTGAAATTTTTAGTTATTAGGCAACACTCTCCTACTGCCATACAGGTGTATTCTCTATAAATTATCTCAGGTAACAGTAGCCTTAGTGTATAAAATACTGCTCAAGGGAAGTTGTGAATTTACCTTGAAAATTTGTTTTGCTTTTGTATAAACAATGGGAAACTGTCAAAGTTAACTGTTCCTGATCCACAAACAGTAAGAAACAAGGATTCTGTCCCATTTACTGCAGTGGTATTGATGTGTTTTTAATACACACTTTCTGTGTACTAATAT